TGGAGAACGGTCGGTTATTTATTGGGTTTCTTCGGTCAATAATTGGTGATTTTAGTATTTCAAGATTCAAATAACAAAATTAATATAATTTTGTTAATTTTTATTATAAATAGTTATTAATTATTATTAATTAAGTATTTAACTTTAATAAAATCCATTACAAATTGTTTTTAGTAGGTTAATAGATTTTTTATAGCTTAGTACAGAAAAAGAAAACCTTAATCGGTCAATAATTGGTGCATTTACCCTACAAAGAAATTAAAAAAAAAAAATTCAATTTTAAAAAACTTTAAAAACTATAAGTGCAATTTTTTCAAAATAATAATTAGTTCTAATTTAATAGTTAAAAAATAACTTAACTAATAATGCTTAATTAATTGTCATTAATTATTTATAAATAACCCACCTGATTAAAAAATAATTTCCATAACAATTTATCATCAGCTGATCACTAAATTGACCAAAATAACTAAACTCTCAACACTAACTAAAGATGTCACGTGCATAGTAGTGACGCGCCATCTGCAGTAAAAAAATACATCAGCGGCAACCATGATTGTTATTTAAGCGCATGCTCAATCATTCACTTCCGTAAACGCACCTATACCTAGCCATCTTTTTCCGAAAGTCAAGCAAGATATATATTATTACCTGCAAATTATACTGTTAAATTAAAATTTTAATATTCTTATTAATAAAAATTTTAATTAAACATTTTATTAATGTCAGAGCCACAGTCCGCACTTTTATTAAGGAAACAGTTAGCAGGTGAGTTTTCTCAATTATTTTTTTTGTCAATATTTCAGTAACATTTTACAAAATATTTAATAACATTATTATTTATTTATTTATTCATTTACTTGTTAAGCTGTCATAAAGTCATAAATACACTCATCCATTTTTTATTATTTTCTTTCAAAGCTTATTTTAACTTCCATTTTTTGGCAGTGAAATTTTTTTTTTACATCCAACTTTCCAATTTTTTTGTGAATACATATACGTATATGTAAAGAGAGAGGAAGGGCGAAGAAAAAATTTCATTTTTATCTGTTTAGTAATCAAGTCATTAATTTGACAATAGGAGACTTAAATTTTAATAAGTACTTAATCTTATGGATTTAATTCATCATATATTTAGTTTTCAAAATTTAGTTATCAATGAAAATATTTTTATCAACATGAAATTTCTTGATTTTTTTCTCTAACTATTTTCAGGTTCAGGCTTACCAACTTGATTATTAAAGAATAGACACACACACATTTAGACTTTATTATTATTATTAATAATAATAATAATAATAATAATTTTATTAAAATCACCACACTTTTTTTCGTTTTATTAAAAAAATAATTAATACTAAAAACATGTTTTTATAATTATTATTCAGGGTCTTAAAATTTCTACACGTGTCTTTCATTTTGTTTTTTTTTTTCAATAATTTTTTTCGGACAAATTATTGAAATTTTGAAAAATCTGTTAATTTGTTATGACTTTAAAATTAGCAGTCACTTAAATATTTTTTATATTTATTTAACAAAACAATTATTTTTAAAAAATTACATTTTTAATTTTTTTTCATTTCTACATGTCAATTTTTTTGCCATAATTTACTTTTTACAAATTTGTAAAATTATTAAATATCTGCCAAATTAATTTTCATAATTTTTATTAATTAGTATAAAAATATTTTAATGATACTAAAATCAGCAGACAAATTTTTTTTTTTTAATTAGTGAGATTTTAAATTTTTAAAATAATTTTTGCAATAAGAAAAATCATAAAAATTTTCAGATGTCAGCTAAATTTATTTTTATACATATAATATGATTACAATAAGATGGAAATTGTCAGTTCTCATTGATCTGATGGTTAAAGCATAATTATATTTTTTTTTATTACTAAAAAAATATATAAAAATTAACTTGGCATATATTTAATAATTTTAAGAATTTGTGTAACAAATAATGGCAAAAAAAATTACAAAAAAATTAAAAATGCTTTTTTTTTAAATAATTTTTGGAACAAATTTTTTTGTTCAATAAAATTAAAAAATAGTTAACTTTAATTTCATAAAAAACAGTTTTGCCCTGTTTAAAAATATTTATTGAAAAAAAATTTACTATAAGATTAAAATTTTTTTCAATAATTTCAATTTCTCAATATATATCTATAGACATATAATTTGCATAGAATTAATTTTTTTTCAATGAATATTTTTAAACAAGATGAGGAGATTTAAAAAAAAAATAGAGTATTTTTTTTTATTTAAAATTTAAAGATTTTCACGGATCACATAAAAAATTGAATTTTTTAAAAATTTTCTTCAAAAAGTAAAAAAAAAGTTTTTTATGAAATTAATTATTGTCAGCTTACATTAAAAAATGTTTATGCTTTTTTTTTAATTCAAGATAAATTTCAATTTAATTGCACATATTTTCTTTTTCGCTTATTCACTTGAAAAAAAAAAAAAAAAAATTTGACGAGAAAAATTCTTGAACCAAAAAAATAATTTTGAAAAGTTTAATTACTTTGAATTAAGTCGAAAAATTTTTGAATCAAGAAAAATTTACTTAGACAAAGAAAAATTTTTTAATTTAAGAATTTTTCAACTCAAATCAAGAAGATCAAGTTTTTAAAAATTATTTACTCAAGTTAATTTTTTTTTATATGTAATAAATAATTTATAGAAAAATTGAGATAGTTTATGAATATAAACTATATCACTTAATTAAAAAAAAAAAAAAAAAAAAAAAAAAAAAAAAAA